TCCAAAAACTTTCTGAATTAATCCGAATTGCTCAAGAATATTTCGAGTTTTGATTAGAATTTGGAAATCATTTTTTTTTTCCCAATTATACGACGTTGAGCGATCTTTAGGGTTAAAAACACAAAAAGCCGTTCTTTACTTTGGAACTCGGCTTCTAGAAAGTCGGTTTCGCCAGATATTATTTACAGAATTAAATTTACTGCATTTCATGTTCGAGAACTGAGTCTGAAACATGCGTCATTCAAAGTGAAAAATGCTAATTGAATTGCTAAAAAAATTGTTTGCGACAGCAGTATTCGTCGGTGTCAGTATTTTCAGTATTTAGACTGTGCATATCTATCTATATAGCAGCTTTCTTTTCAGATAAGATATAACGACTTTTGATATTTTCAATGGCATTTACAGCTTCTTTTGATACTTCCAAAGTGATCGCCGCGGCTTGTTGTCAGCAGCAGCCCCCAATTATATCATGCAAATCCCATGAAGGCGAACTTCCCAATCAGCAGGAAACGACAACAACTAATGGACAGTTCCCTTTTCTGTCTATGACAACAGATGCAATACAAGTTAAAACTTCGTTATTATTAGAATCAGATGGGAATTTACCTCAATGTTTACCATATGAAAAAAAGAAAACAATAGAGGAAAAACGGTACGATGACAGTGTCGTTGGTCGTCTACTGTTGATACCTTCGGATTACCGAAAGATAATTGAATACATCGAACGCGGTAATTTTGAAGCTCTTAAAAAAACTATTGAACATCATCATGCCGAAGTCATTAAAATGCGCAATAGGTTCGAACAAGTAAGTCTCAATCTCATTTTATTTTAAGTTGGATAGTAGTTACAGAATAAATAGAACACCGTACTATACAACTGTACTACCCACAAAAAAAGTGACAACATGCAATATTTGATAAGTAAATATCTATAACTCTTATACATGCACAAGAAAACAAAGAAAGAGAAGAAAAAATATAGAATTGATTATGATTAGACCACACAGATAAAAAAAAATGATTTCCAAATTCTAATCAAAACTCGAAATATTCTTGAGCAATTCGGATTAATTCAGAAAGTTTTTGGATCGGATTGGATGAAGTATTTGTCACACGATTCAGTCCCTGCTTGTGTATCTTTAAGATAAAAGAGAAACATGCACTCGTCCACTTTCTTGCTGATGCTCTTGAAAAATTCTTATTTCTGTCGCATTCATACGAGGATCTTGTAAATCGTTACACGATTATTCGTCGAACGACGCTTCACGAACCGACTCTTCCGCGAATTTTACATAATACAAGGTCGGGTATTTCTGGAAGTGTGGGGTGGACGATGGGGGCAGTGTGAGAGTGAGTTTGAACAGTAGTTTCTCAGAAAAAATTATATCTCAGCAATAATGAGCAAGAAGAGTAGGATTAAACCCATTACCAGTCATCTGTCTAATATTGTCTCCCCTATTTTTAAAACTGGAAATCAGCGGTTTAAAACATGCTTATTTCTTATGGTTGATTGTACGTTCCAGTTTTTAATACTATCGGAATAAGGTATCATTAATAGCTGCGTCTTCCTACAGATAACTTACATACAGTGAACATTAATGTTTCCTGACCGTAACATTTCAATGCAAAGTAGATCGTTTCATCCTGTCGAGCATTGCAATTTGCTACTGTTGCTGATTTAGTTGTCTAACTGTTAGTTTTTCCTTTCGTATTTTATTGCGAATCATGTGCTCAGGATACCCATCCATTTGCAGTATTCGCTAGCTTTTACTATTTTTTTACTAACTTTAACAACTTGTCTTTAGAAAAAGACAAACGTTAGTTTTTTATTTTTTTGTTTTATTAGACAATACTACATGTGGCTGTTAGACTGAATCTAGCCTACATATGGATACGACTGTTCTTGATGCGCGGCGTTGATCCAACAGCAAAGGACGAGGATGGGTTAACAGCAGCCCATTATGTGTGTGAGAAGGATGATGTTGAAATGTTAAAAGCACTACTACTTCCATTTCATGCAAAAGTCAAATCTTTCCAGGATAATGTAGCTAATGACATGCACAACAGATGTGTGGAAGCGTTATCTATAACAGATAATTGTGGTAGGTAACAAGTTATCAGTTTCTGCAGCTTCGTTCTGTTATGCTTATTTGTAGGTTTGACACCTTTCATGTTGAGCTGCTCGAGAAAAGCGGTTAAATGTGTTGAATATTTACACGAACATCATCCTGCCAAAGACATCGATCTTACTGTATGTACTTGAAACCAGAATATCTCATTATTTATGTTTGTGTTCTTTTACTTTTCCAGGACAAGAATGGCGAGACGTGCTTACACTACGCTGTAGCTCTAAACGATCTGAAATTTGTCCAATATTTGGTTCAAATTTGTGGTGTAAGAGTGAACGCAGGCTCTGAACATCGCCCCTCACCATTAGATATCGCTATGTACAGAGGTCATAACGACATTGTGGAATTCCTCATTAAAAATAACGGTCAAACACGTTTTAGTATTCAGCGTGTGGTGAGCAAGCGAAAAAATTCTTGCGATCTTGATTTGAACATTGAAGCACTGACGCTTCACTCTAGTGAAGATACAGCAATACTGCAACCAAAGTCTTCCAGAACTCAAGACTATATACTACCAATGGAATCTGATAATCATCCTACAGCTAAAAGGCAAAAGACTAGTGATGAGTTCAACAAAGAAGTAGCCCATCTGTTTCTTCAGGCATCACTTTGCTCGGCAAAGGACGATCTGGACGGAGCATTAAATTACTACAATGACGTGTTAAGCCTGTTACTTGGCAGTAGCGACGAGGGGCCTCATCCGGAATTAGCTAAAGCTTACAATAGCATTGGTTTAATCTATCATCGAAAGGGTGACTTTGCCACTGCATTGGTTAACTACCTTAAAGAACTCGAGATAGTGTCGAAAAGCAACAATCATTCAGTAACAGCTAGCTGTTATGGTAATATTGGCTTAATATACGCCATTCAACATAATAGTAGAGACGCTGTGGAGAATTTTGAAAAAGCTTTGCTTATCTCTCGTTCCAATCCACAGAAAAATCAAACTGAAATTAAAAGATTAGAAAAATATATTGGTGATATCAGCAAAAGACAGTAAAAATTGCTTCCAGATACTGATATGATTAGCGAATAAATTTGTTGATATGTCTACCTCTGTATCAGTCATTATCTTATAGAACTCGAAATAGTGTCGAAAGTCAATAGTCAGCGTTTTAACCTTAGCAGCCACTCTGTTACGGAATTAAAACATTTTTATATAGTCTGACATATCCCATATCCAAAATACGTCAGGATTAAAACGACCTGAAAAGGTTAAATAAATTTTTGTTACAGTTCAGTTCTATTTTGAGAGTATATTTCTAAACCTTGAAACTTGTTCATTTATCGTGTCATCCTTTTATTTCACGCGTATTATTCGACCGTTTGACTGTTGGGTTTTTACTTCGATGGGGCCGGTCCTTGTTTAATCGTTTGATTTTGCTGCTTTTGTTGTGGAAATGGCAGTGAGTCAGTAGTCATCGCTGATGTTTGATTTGGATACATGCCCAAGTTTTGTTTCGATCAAGAACGACATTTTTTATGATATGATAAACTGCATATGCCTAGAAGAGGGCGTATACAAAGGTTCGCTACCTATGCTAATCATCACTTTTCTTACATGGAAACATTATGTTTAGTAAATGACCGAACATTTTTTAAGAGGTCTAATATTGACTAATTTAAGTATATTGGGTTACTCCTCAGAACCTTCTCGCTCTTACCTCGGTGAAATGGATTCAATTGAATACAATTAGGCTAAGTTATGATAAATAAATATGTTTTACAACCACTTTTCTGTTACAGAGCAGCTCAAGCATTGGAAATTTAAACTGACCCTTATTACGTGCGCAGTCCTCGAGGCTGTCTTTATGTAACTTTTCCCTCAACACAGTTGAGAATATATACGTCAGACGTCAACGAAACAATTCTGTGATTCAATTTTCTATTATTCATTTCTTGATTGTAGAGAATTAAGCACTCCGAAAACGTTAGGATTGGATCGAGAAAAGCATTACACAGTCAAAGATGAAACAAGAAATACATTGAGTCTTTTCAATAACATGTTCATTTATTTACGCAAAGAAACAAACCTGTTTGTAGAATTATATGAGTTTTATGTGTGGCACGGAACTGTAGAACGAAAACGGTGATTCTTTTTAAAAGTCAGAAAAGAATTCTTTTGTGAAACTGGTTCTGATCTGAGGAGTTTTGATCACAACCAAAAGATACAACTTCTCAATGGCTACACAATTGTTGGACGCAATATTGATTCGAAGGACAATACCTCGGTTTTCAACAAAATTTTTCTCCAATTTTCTCGTTGAAAAAATATTTGATCTTTCTTTGTAAATTCTGGACTTTACATCCGGGAATGCTATTCAAAAACGAGTAGAGGTCGGAAGGACGAAGATACGCACGGAGCTTTAAAAGAATGAATGTAAAGGACCAGGATTATAATCAATTTTACGCGGGACCGGAACTTTAAAGCTCGACCCCGCACATCTCTAGAAAGAGACTAAAAACATTTGCATCCTTTACGTGAGATCCCAAAAGGACATTAGGGAGATGTTAGAATTTATGTTCCTCTTCGTGGTGTCTCAAATAACAAAATTTTGGCAAAAGTCGATCATTGCGAAATAAATGTCACTGTTGAATCAGGTATAACAAAGAAATTGGAACAACATTTTCGAGCCGATTAACAGTCGAGCAACGTTTTTATGATTAACATACCTTTTATTTAATGATAGTACTAAACCGATTTATTTTATCATTTATTAAGCCTTTTTTTCCTAAATTAGTTATTAATTTAAAATTAAATTTGAAAGTGAACATGGACTTTTTGCTATGAATACAGGCCGATCAATTTATTTTGAAACGATTTGGATGCAGTTTTTCTTTACAAATCGTTTCTGAAAAAAGGTTCTTTACCATACCAAACAAGAGACAATTTAATTCTCTACAAGATTATATATTCATCTTTAAGAATCACCTTTGATGTTTGGCACCCCAAGCAAGAAAAATGGAGCTAGAATCGGCCGGTTGGAGCTAGTTAACAAGGTTTTCGGTCCCGTTAAGCTAGCTCCACCTCAAAAAGTTTAACCTAAGATCGGGCGGTTCAACCTACTTTTGGGCGGTTGGGGAGGTTATCACCTAGGTTAACCGCCCACTTAACCGACCGATAGAGCTACCTCTGGTGGATCTAGCTCCAACAGCCCGCTTAACCGACCGGTTAAGCTAGTTCCTGGTATCAAATAGCTTAAACACAGGGAGGTTATCACCTAGATTAACTTCCCACTTAACCGACCGATCGATCTAGCTCCAATCGCCCGCTTAACCAACCGGTTAAACTAATTCCCGATGGAGGTTATCACCTAGGTTAACCGCCCACTTAACCGACCGATCGAGCTAGCCCTATCTGATCTTTTCCTCTCCTTCTGATATAAGCTTTATTCTTTCACAATACACACTTAGAAAACAGAATACTTGTATTCTGAAACAATAAAGCTTATATCAAAGGGAGGGGAAAATTTAATTTAGGAATAAAACTGAGGAAAGGAGGACGAGTACGATGCAAGGTTAAATCCATTGCTATTTAGAAGTCGAGAATTTAGCAGAATTTTTAAAAACCGTAACCCTAAACGGCAAGGACACTTGAAGAAGCTCATAAATCAATTTTACTACGAATAGTAAAACAGCAGAAAAATACAATCCTTTTGCAGATTCGAACCTGCGAGACAGTAATCTTTTCTGCTTCTCGTATTTTCTGCCTAAAAAAGCATTTTCGAGAGTTATATATATTCTCAAACATAAAATGTGGCAAATTTAATTTTCTAGAGTTTGTGTTGGGACCAACTTTCAAGAAATCGTTCTTCATGGTGAAAGGCAGTAAATATCGTTTTTCATCGTGAAGATCGATTTGTACAAAGTTGAGTCTGGCAGACGCAATTTGGGAAATTAAATTTGCCACATTTTATGTTCGAGACACAACTCTCGAAAACGCTTTTTTCAGGCAGCAAACACCAATCTCTCAAATATTTTCTCAATGATTTCATCACTTATCAACTACTACATGTGTGCCTGGTATCTTTGTTGGGTAGAACGTCGCGTTACGTCCAGTCTCAATTCTGATAGTGCGCTGTAGTCGGCGAGTTCGATTGTCGTTGGGCACATGTTCTTTTTTTTTCTTATTTTTTAAACTAGCTTTGAGTGCCCGGTTAACCGGCCACTCAAACTACTCGGTTAATCTACTTGATAACCACCCTCTTATCAAATATATTTCGTCTTCGGAGCTAGCTTAACCAGTCGGTGAATTGGGCGATTAACCTAGTTGTCAATCTCCCGCTCCTACTCGATTATGATAACCTAGTGCTCGGTTCACTACTAGGTTGGAGCTAGCTAACCAGGTAAAAAGGTACATTTACCTAGATCCAACAAGTGAATAACCGCCCGGTTATGTAGTCGATGTAGCTAGATAGTCTTCGTAGAGCATTTTTGCTTGGGACAGTAAGTCTAATACACTGTGAAAAAATAGGTGCATTTTCGAATAAAAAGTGCACTTCACGTGAATCAAAGATGACTTCATTTTTGATCAGTAAGATGAAATTTCCATGTAAAAGACGCGCTGCGACGCCTTACGAAAG